AAGTATATAAATAGTTCCAAATAGTTACAAGTAAACTTAGCTATTGTACAAACAAGCCACAAAATAAAATACCACTAATATGTGAGGCGATAAACATCGAGCTTTACAAGACACCAGATAAGTCACCTTTTACATCTCTACTAGGGGTGTCGGTTCGGTGGGTAGCTGAACCCGAAAAAACCTAAAAAACCCGAACCGTTAAGCACAACCCAAAACCAAACCCGAACATTCTGCTTTGCGGTTTTCGGGTACACTGATCCGAAATTTTGTTTGCAGTTCCGAGTCTGGTTGGTTGAACCCGAAACCGATCCCTTGTTTTTTTTTATTTTGTGGAATGCTTTTTTAAATTTTTTTTTGTGATTAACAATTTTATTACATTCTTATATAAAAGTTATATTTACCAACATTAGGTGATAGAATATAATTAGTCTAAATATTATATTTTACTAAGTTTAAGTCTAAAATGTATCTTTAGTTTATATTACTACAAATAGTATTACCAACATTAGGTGATCGATTAGAATTAGTCTATATATAATATAGTTACTAAAGGATCCCTCTATAAGGTAAATTTCATGTCACTCGTTATACTTTTAGTTACTCATTTGTATATATATTGATAAATTCTATAAAACGTAGATATTGATACAATTTGTATTCGCGAAATGATTTTTATTTTATAAAAAAAGAACACAATCATATGTTTTCGAGTTTTCATATTCTTGACTAGGCTCTTAATAATTGTTTTCATCCAGATTTACTCGACTGAAGGGTTCTGCAAAATCACCCAGGACGACTAGCAACCAAATCGTTCTAGTAGTACTAATACATTTAAGAATAATAACATCCACAATGTCAACTTTAGGTAACAATGTTAATAAGACTAATAACATCCACAATATCAACTTTAGGTAACAAGATAAACATCACTACCATTACCACTCCACCCATTCAGACTCTACATCCACACAAGTCTCATCATTCCCATCAGAATCCTCATCAAATAATCTTCTTCAACTTGTGACCCAATAGGACTCGAGATCAGAACATGGGCAGAATGTGAGCTTCCACTAGGTTCTGCAGATGCACTTTCACTTCGAGCTTGAAAAGCTGCAAATACTGAATAACATAAACAATAATAACTTGTGAGAGAATAATTTGATTACAATAACAAATATAAGAATACACATAAGTATGAAGAGAAAGATTAAGTCCTTACCATTTTGAAATACAACTTCATCACCCTCATCTTCTCCATCAGCCACCAAGTCAGAGTCGGAAGATCTTATCCAATCTTCATAGAAAATCAAAGCCTCCACAACTTCAGGGGATAAGGAGGTCCTAAACGAATCTAAAACTCGACCTCCTGTGCTGAATGCCGACTCAGAAGCAACAGTGGAAATAGGAACAGCGAGAATATCCCTAGCCATCTTAGAAATAGTAGGATATGTCATCCCACTTCTCGACCACCATCCCAAGATATCAAACCTGCACTCATCATCTTCAGAACCCACCATTGCTCGTGTAACTTCCTCATCATCCTCCTCCTCCTCCTCAAGGTACCTATCAAACTCAGATTTGGAACCTTTTCTAGTTCCTTTCAGAATGACCTCTCTTTTCTTTTTCCTGAAATCAACCCAAAAATTCACTTTCTTCTTTCCATCCCCACTTCCACTAGGTTCTTGCTCCTCTTCTGGAATCACAATGGGAGAACTACCATGAATTCCAAGCCTATGCTTGTAATGGTCAAACAGAACACACATTTCATCTTTCACCTCTTCGATCAAAGCTTTCCCCCTGATATCACCATATACCTTCATCAAAGCTTCTTCAAGATATTCAACTTTGCGCCTAGGATCCAATATGACTGCCATATAGCACAACCGATTCGGCTTTGAATTTTCTAAGTCTTCTTTAAACCAATACTTGGCAAGTTTGGACTTGATTCTTTCAGCCATGCAACACACCTCAATATCCATACTATCAGCCCACTCAGAAATCATATTATGCAACTCACATATCTCATCAAACAAGAGGTGTAAAGTCACATATGAAGTCCCAGAAACTCGAACTGTCAAATCATAGAAGAGCTTCAGGTAAGTAATCAACCGTCCTACACTTGACCAATCATCAGAAGTTGGGATACCAAGGCTTTCATATCTATATTTCTTTTCAGTGAGATGTTTCTTGAATTTCTTCTCATTTATGGCCAATGTTTGGAATGCCTTCTCAAATGGTTTGGCAGATAAGATATGTAGAGGTCCACCTTGTAGCTACATCCAAAGACACAAATTTCTTCAACACTATCTTTTCAAACTCAATGCAATCTTTGAATTTTCTACTCCTAGCAGGTGTAGCTCTAACCCACCTCACCGACTCTCTCACTCGCTCCACAAATACACTCGTTTCTTTAAACCCATCATTCACAGCCAAATTAATAATGTGAGCAACACACCTCATATGCAGATACTTTCCATCCAAAATATCTGATTCCCACTCTTTCAATTGTTCCCTCATATGGATAGCAACCACATCATTAACGATAGCATTATCCATTGTGATACAAAACACCTTCCTAATGCCCCACTCCACCAAACAACTAGCCAACTGTTTTCCAATTTCATTTCTAGAATGTTTTGTTACTTGGACCAGTTGATAATTCTTTTATACAACCTCCAATCTCTACCAATGAAATGAGCAGTAATGCACATGTAGTTGAGATTGGACAAAGAAGTCCAAGTATCAGTGGTGAGCGACACCATCCATACACATTTAGTCTTGAAATAGTCTTTTAACAAGTCTCTATTTTCAAAGAACACCTTTATACAGTCCTCTCTAACTTTTTGACGGCTAGGTAACACAAACATGGGGCAAACACGAGACATAAAACGTTTGAACCCTTCATGTTCAACGTACCTAAATGGTAGCTCATCTATGATAATCATCTCGGCTAAAGCCCGCCTAACATCAATCTGATCGAATTTCCAAGTGCCAAGAGTGTGTACCTGACCTTCAGAAAATGACAGATGGTCGACAATCAGCTCACCCTTTTCTATCTTCATCGTACAACTATTTTGTGATTCTGGAGAGTACAAGTCCCAAATCTAGTGGTAGCAATAAGAACATTATTGCAGTAAATGCATCGAGCTTTGTCCACTCCATCCTTCTTAAAACGCTTGAAGTGTGGCCAAACGTAAGATTTTTTTTAAGTTGTCCCCTCATATGTTGTTTGAGCAGGAGGTACATTGGTGGTACCAGTAGAAGGTGTAGGAGCAGAAGTAGGATCGGATGATGGTGCAGGAGGTATAGGATGAATGCCGATACTCTTAGAGCGCCCTCCACGTTTAGGACGAGAAGTCGATGGTGCCTCACTCTCTCTGCCAAATATAATCTCTGGATATATACATTCTCTCACTCTCGCTCCTCCTTCCACTTAACGAATCAATAACTAAATTAATGACGACCGACGGGTCAGATCCAAAGCTAGTCAGTATTGAGAGTTAAACCAAAAACCCGAAACCGTTTTGACAACCCTAATCTCTACTAATAACTAAAGACTACTACCCATAATAGAATCTAGCAATGACAGAATCTATCGGAAGATTCCTCTTGGCTCCCACCCTTGCATCCATAGTATCCATGATCCCTACACTTGTCAATTACGGGGTTCATAGCCACAAAAAGAAACATTATACAACCCGCGCCTCTCACAATCACAGAGATAATCATAAATTCTCCAACAAACAAGCATTGTTAATACCGAGGTTTGAAAATGGCGCGGTCTGGTTCATATCATACTATATATATGGTTTACCATCCGAACCGAGAAACTGGAGAACATACCAGAGACTAGATCAAATATTATATGATCCAAAATAGACCATGTCTATATGGGCTTGTCATGTACGGTTCGGACAAGACATACCATCAGCGGCAGATCCAGGATAGAGTAGAGGACTGGGCCACCTTTGATAAAAGACATAGAGAGCTGGGTCGTAACGTGAAAAATAATGAAACGAATACCGAAAAATCGGATATTACAAGTGATATACTAGCTCGAGATCCAGAGGAGGGCTGGGCCGCGGCCCGGGGGCGCCCCCTGGATCCGCCGCTGCATACCATATATCTGTTTCTTTGAAGGAGTGTAATATATGAATGGAGAAGGGACATGATCGAAAATTAAGGTTGAGACTTTGGTATTATTAGGGAGTGGGGAAAGTGGTCGAGACTCGAGTGGGCAACTAATTAATTCTAATTTTGGAAGTAATTGGGTCCACAGTATGATTCGATAAACCGCTATATAGATCAGACTAATAGGTCAATACATCTTACAATACAAAACCAAGAACAAGATCAAATTATTTTTACGATTTGTTGCCATCGATACGATTTTTCTAATAACCTGATCTATTTTTCCGTCGTAGTTAATACCTTCACAACATTGAGCCTCAATCGTAATGATACACCCCTGAGCATCTTGAATCACGTACCCGACATATTTATAACTTCCCTGGCCGTAGCTCCGTCGAAGAACCCAATCCCTTGGCATGGGAATCTGTAACGAGGAGGTTTTTACTTTTTAGAGACCCTAATTCCCTCTCTTAGACATGCAAACATTAGTTTTCACTTCCCTAGTAAATGAGATGAATTGCTCTTCCCATCAAATACGAGAAGGAATAAAACGTCCCGTTCCACCTTACCCCTATTACCGGACTCTGTTTCCGGTTGTACAATGGATCCGGCCGATTCTCATTACGTTTTCCCCTTTATGCAGGCTAATTGTTTATAACTCCATTGGGCCTTCGTCCATGGAGCCGCATCCATAAGCCCAATCCAATCAGTAGTTGGATATCCGCGTACGTCTACCGCTAGGAAACATCCGCCAGTTGGCGCGTCGTGTTACTTCGATACCCTAAATAGTCAAAAAAGCACACGCAAAATAACGATTGGCCAGCCTGTAAGAACAAGGGTAATTCCGGTATTCCGCACGAATCACCCGACCTAGATGAGTCGGTGATCTCAGATCTCGCCCCAGTCTATAAATATGCCTCCTTAATGCCTTTGCCCCCTCTCATCCTCTCTCTCTCCCACAGCCGCAAGCCTATTATTAGTCGAAGTTTCGGGCGAGAAAAATTTCTAGGGTTTCCGTAGTCTTGCGGTTGGGGATTTTTGGCCGGAGTCGGGATCCGATAGGAAGAGAAAAGGCGCGGAATCTTCGATTCGGGTTGCGTGTTGCGTCTCCTTTTATCTGGGTTTTCTTGTCGAAGGAAAGAGAGATTCAGATGGCTCGATGCTTTCCTTACCCGCCTCCAGAGGGCTACTTGGGGATTGGTGGTGGTGGTGGTGGAAGGACTTTGCTGGGAGGACCGATTAAGGTTCGTTTCAAGCGAAGCTTGAATTTGGATTTATGGTTTCTTCGATTTGCTTTCTTGTGTCCATCCTCATCATTTTGATGTTTGGTGCGAGTCTGTTTGATCTCTCAAGAAAACTAGGGTTTCTTGTTTTCTCGGAAAAAAATCTGTTTCTTTCAATCGATTTTCGAAACACGGGATTAGGGTTTTTGATTTTTAAATTAAATCTTTCGTTTTGAATGGTTTTGATTCTTTTCCTTTTGGTTCAATGCGAGTCACCTTTTGGGAGGTTGTAGCCTGTAGGGTCTTGGTTAAGAAAGTTGCGGAGCCTTAGGGTTAGTCTCGTAGTTTGAAGAGCTTTTGGGATCTCTAAGTTTGGCGTTCGATTTCGGTTTAGGAGAGCGTATGGTGATTAAGTATTAACTCCTTTCGATGAAACGGTTGCTTTTGGTAAGAAGTTGACGAATTAGTGGTAGTCAGGCAGAACATTAGACCCTGACCCGGAATGATGCCCCTTTGGCCCTTGGAAACTGAATCTAAGTTTTGCCCACCTTCTGAAATTGTTTTCATGATTTAACTCTAGTCATTTCCAAGTTTTTCAATCTGCTTGTTGTTTTGTACTATGTCTCCTCCATCGTCCACGCCATGGGTAAGCTTGTACATGCTGTAACTATGTTGAATCCATAGAGTATGTACCTTGTTGAAATGTATTGAATGAATCCCTTCGAGTCTGTAAATTGGGGCGCATATGCTCTTTGCTTGGTGTGCCATCGGTTCTAAACTGAGTTATTTTGGGACATAATAGCCCCATGCTGAGACAGAGAAGCATGTCAAAAAGGACACTGAAAAGTGGCTGAAACGCAAGTCTAATGGGAGTCATAAGGTGGAAGAAACCAAATCCAAAAGGATCAAGTTCACCACCAAGGGTGGTGGTGGTACTTCTCAAAAGAAGGATAATAAAGAAGACGGAGCCGAAAGCAGTGGCGTAACTGAAGAGCATGGCCTCCCTGTCTTTAGCCAAAGCCCTTGTCATTCTTCCGAATCAGTCCGGGTCTTCAATGAAAGGCCAACAGCAGCTGAGAATACCTTGGAGAGGAAACGTATGTGTCCTTATGATATTCATTTCTCTCTGGTGCTTGCCTTGTTATCTAACTATGTGGAAATCTTACATGATGATTACTCTTGTATTGCAGGAAATGTCATTAAAATAAAACTGAATGCCCCAAAGCCCGAAGAACCAGTAAGTACAGAACAGATTGGTCAACCTTCTACGAGTTCTTCCCATCAGAAGAACAATGATGTCAGTGAAAGACTTCCCCACCCGCCGTCCACATCTGAACTGCGGAAGAATGAAAAAGATGTTTCTGCCGAAGTTGGAAAGACTCCGATACATATTTCTTCTGGATCCAAGAAGAGGTCTGGGTCCAAGAAAACGTCGAAACAAGATCTCTATGAGTCTCTGACCAGTGGTTGGATGCCCCCTGCTCTTCAGTCTGGGCAGTCGGAACCTGGAGTGGAGCTCGATTGGCTCTTTGCCTCCAGAAAGCCTGGCAGCCTAAGTACCAGTGAAGGGTCGAAGATCGTCTCTTCATGCAGTGCTGCAAGCTCATGTACTGCAGTGTGGCCTAGAGCTCAGTTCTTGCCGGAAGTGGAAGTTTATTCATTGCCCTATACGGTTCCATTTTGATCAAGGACCAATTAGGTAAAGAGTGTAATGCGCCCGTTGTGTTTTTGAGAGGTACACCCTGGGCTGATTGTCAGGAAAGAAAGAAAAAACTTAGTTCTAACGATAGGTTTTTTAGGATCTTTAGATTGATTGACCCTTCTGTACAGAAATTTGTTTGGTATGATCTAGTGCAATTCTTTTACACTGAATTTGTGACTTTTGGGTGCTCCTATCCTTCGTCAATCTGCATTGTATTTTTATAACATAAATTGTGATTGGAGACAATCGACATGTTGTAAATGAGTTGATAAAGTCAGTTTTTCCCCCGATAATTAGCTTATCATACTCATTAAGAGCCATCCTGAACCAACAAGTAACAGGATCATCGAAAGCTTCAACCTTCCATCTCCAACTATGCAAATACCCTTAAAAAACTTGTTAACATCGCAGCAGCATACAATGAATTGAATCCGCAGCAGCTATCTACACAACATCAAATCAACTTCAGCAGCTAATACCTGAGTTCCCAAAGATTCTTAAGACACTGCTCCCTCAATATGTTGTCAAGTAACCAAGTCCATAACAGAGCACATATTCTTCCTTTTACACCACCCTGCATGTGCAAAACAATAGCATCTTGAAGGCTCTCCTGAGTCCAAATTTAGCACACCACCCCTACAGCCAAATCCCTTGAGTAATCACAAGGAAAAAACAAATGGTCTCTTGACTCTAAATTCACATCACAGAGAACACATTTCCCCATTTTTCGTCACTCACCATTTAACCAGTTTATCTCTTGTGGTGATTCTGTTAAGTGAGTTTAGCCAGGATACAACTCAATACGATGAAGTTACATGCGAGTGATGAAACCTCTTGATTATGAAATAACCCGGATGAAACATTTAAATAAATCCCAATTAGATCAATGATTAATCCAAAACATCATCTCGAGACATATTTAATCCAAAACTTCTGGAAACAACGAAACTCACGAAACAAGCATAATCGAGTAAATTAGATGGAATGTAGAGTCCTGACTACGGATAGCAAAACAATCCTCACTGTGTGTACCCAATCGAATCCGAATCAATTTTGTTGGAAAATTCCAACCGATATGATTTTTTATGGACTTTTCCCAACCGAAAAAGTATAATGGATTTGGTGCAGCTTCCGTATTTTAACTTTTTAAGTATTCGAACCAAACCCACCCGAATATGTGTTATAACTATGTTGTAGGCTCATTCTCTTTAATACTACGCTTATCTATATCCTTAAAACATTATAATTATTTTTAGACCTTAAATCTTGTTCATTTTCTATTAGTTTTATAAACAAATGGACAAAAAAACTTCATTTTGCATTGACATTCGAAGAAGTATTTTAGATTATATAAAAAAACTTTATATATGATTGTTCAGAGATGATAATTTTCTCCAAACCTCTAGATTGTAAACAATCTGAAAAAATAATTCTCCGAATTGTTGAAAAAAATTTGAAAATTTTCATTGTTTGTAAATGCGATTGTTAACATGCAATAAAAATGGCAATACAATTTTTTTTAGCAAATGACATGTTTAGCCTTAACCAAGAGAATCAAAGTGACTAAGAAAATCTTGAGAATTTATTAGTAAGGGTATTTGGTGGGATAAAAAAAGAGATAAAATAGGAGGAACAAAATTCTCAAAAATAAAGATATAAAATCTCTATGATTATGAGAGATTTAATATCTTTAAATTTGAGAGATTTTAAATCTCTGAAGCTAAAATCACGGTAAAAAAAAGACATAACTTTCTGCTAAATCTATAGATTCGATGAATCAATAGTCCACACTTTTTCTCCAAACCAGTCCTGGTTGGTTTTGGTATGATATTATATTTTTGCACACTTTTGATATATATGCATACATACATATATATATGTTTTTGGAGTGAAAATTTTTGCACACTCTTAATTAAGATGATAGTTACAATTTTAAAAACACAATTCAAAAATAATATATATAAAAACCGACCCCACCCGAACCCGTTATCATTCTTATGCCTAATTTCTTCACAACTCGACAAATTTAATTTTGGGTCAGCTCTCGATGCTGATTAGATTTAGACCCGACCCATTGATTATCATTAATTTAGATATCGATTCGTGAAGTAGAAGCACGAGCGAGAGTGAGAGAAAAAATATTTCCACACAATAGAATATTGAAACCGTTAATGGATCCTTAATGTTTTATTATTTTAATTAAAAATTATTAAATAACTATTACTTGTTAGATAAAATAATACAACACCTCTTATAAATACTTTCAAGGGCATTTCCGGTACTTTCCATTACTCCCCACTCGCCACTCCCAGGCTTCCTCTTTTAAATACTTCATCCCTGAGACGAGGCGCCAAAGAAACACTTTCCACAGTCGCTTGCTTATTTCCCAAGTTGAGAGATTGTGAGCGATCGATCGCTTATTCGATTCTAGGGTTCCTTGATCTCGGCGTTAGCTACAGATTGAGAGAACCGCGTGAGAGAAAGAAAGGCGAAGAACAAGAACTTCGGTAATTCTTCCGGTGGAATCGCGCGCTAAAGACAAGATGGCTCGCTGTTTTGGTTACCAGCCTCCCGAAAGCTACCTCAAGGTTTGTTTCCATCGCTAAGCTTCGATTCTGAGTTACGTTGTTGTCGTTCCTTCGTTTGTGCATGTTCTCTTTACGCTTTAAAGTCTCGTTTGATTACTGGGAAAACAAGGCTTTTCTTGAAAAGGTGGAAAACTGCTTTCGTCGAATGGATTTTCGATTTTGGCAACTTCTTTGGGTCGAAAACGTTGTTTTGAACGGTTCTGGAAAGGTTCAGGAGTGGAAGTTGCGGAAATTCCTTAGAGCTCTGTTAGATCTGCGTGAAGTGACTAGTTGATTAATGGGTTCTTGATAACAAAGATTAAGGTGGTCTTGCTGGCGGTTAATCTTGAGATTTGGGGAGACGGTTTGGTTTAGGGTTTAGTCGTGTTGAAGATATTCCTGAAATCTCTGGTTTGATTAATTGATGCTTCAATCTCTGGTTTCTGGTTCTCTAACCTTTGATTACTCTTTTGGGTTTCCCACAGCTTGTGGAAGAGATGAGGAGCCATGGGAAAAGGGACATAGAAAAATGGATGAAAAGGAAGAGCAGAAGAGAAGCTAAGGAAGCAGAAAAGATCACATCCAAAAGAATGAAGCATTCTCATCACGAGAGTAAAGAAGAAGGTGAAATCAGTGATGTTACAGAAGAAGAAGAAGAAGAAGAAGAAGAAGCAGCAGAAAAGCTCAAATCCAATAGAACGAAGCATTCGCATCATGAGAGTAAAGAAGAAAAAGAAGAAGGTGAAATTAGTGTTGTTACAGAGGAAGAAAAAGAAGAAGGTGAAATCAGTGATGTTACAGAAGAACACGGCCCCCCTGAAAGCCCCTGCAGTTCCTCGGATTCTGTCAATCCTCGTACGTGTTTCTCATTCATAATGTCTCTGGAATACATGTCTTGCCTTTGTTTGTTTTCTTTAGTAGAATCTGACTCACTCTCTATTGGTTCATCTTCAACAGGGAAGAGCTTCACTCGAATCGAATCATCGAAAAAGAAGAAGAAGAAGGAGACGTCGAGGCACGAGCTATACGAGGCTCTAACGACTGGCTGGACGCCGCCACCACTGAAGATGTCAGGGCCAGAAGACCTCGGGTGGCTGTCTGGTTCTAGGAAGACTGATGGAGTCGGATGCCAGACAAGGAGAAGTGAAGTTCAACGCAACAACGTTCTGGTTTATGCATTGCCCTATACGGTTCCCATTTGATGATACCATGGATGGAGATGGGTAAATATGATTCATCTTAATGGCTTCATGGCTGTTTATGGAAAGATTTATGTATATGATGTAACTCGGCGAACTCACCATCGTAATGAGAAAGAAGAAAGCAGGGGCAGGGGCCCAACTCTGTGAATGTAGGCACAACTTGCCGAACCACGTAAAAAACTCTCGTGTCTCTCGTGTGATTGCTTATCTCTTTTCCTTCTTCGATTCATCCCATCACTAGAAGTTAACAACGCTATTCGAGAATCTAAATCACGAAAAGATTTAATTCGTAACAATATTCCGTTAAGAAATCAATAAGTAACTTCTGAGGTTTTGTGTTAGGAATCTCTGTACATAATTGGAAGGTATACCTACTTCCCCATCAAATTTCCGAAGTAGTGTTTAACTTCCTATAAAAGTAAGGTGAGTTTCTACCAAAAAAGAAAAAGAAATAAACAGATGAGCAGTTGAAGTTTAATCATAGATTATTAAAATTGGTCTTCCTTCAAGTAGTCCTTCAGTTTTTTCCTCGGCTTGGCAATGACCCTGCTGCTTCCCAACTGAGTTGCATCTTCCAAGCCTAAATCCAGCCATGAAGTGTCCAATGACGACTTATAATCATGTCTTTGTAGACTTTCATCGTCACCTTCCTCTTGATTACTCGTCTCCGTTAGATAGTTGATGTAGCAACTTGTCCATTCCTTTTCGCATTTCACCCCTTTCAAAAGCTCGATGATCTGAAAACAATCGTATCGAGAAATGTCAAACTCATTTTTTCCTACAAATCTCCTGCTGATGAGAAAAGAAGAGAGAGTGAATTATGTTACCTGGTTTGCTGTTGGACGCAATCTGGCTGAGGCTTTGGTGCAAAGGCTGGCAGCCAAAACCATTCTACCTAATTGAGAGTTATCCACTTGTTCACTCATTAACCTTGGATCAAGCAATCCTCTGTGATTCCCACTTTCCATCAACGGAATCGCCTGGACCATAAACAAACATGACCAATTTTCAGTTTCTTGATGAACAAGCAATACACGAGGCAAATGTTGACCAAATGGGAAGTTAGGTAAGGTCAAACTGAATAAGGAAATGCTCACCCATTTGACTAATCCCTCTTGTGCTTTTGAACTATTGTTTGTGATGATTGCTTTCCTTCCGGAGACCAGTTCCAGCAGAACAATACCAAATGAGTAAATGTCTACTTTCTCACTCACCCTTCCACGCATGAAATACTCTGGAGCTATGTACCCAAAGGTTCCAACCAGATCTTTGTTTGTCATGTGGGTCGAATTTGTTGGGCCCCATATGGCAAGCCCAAAATCTGATAACTGTGAGGGCAAGAAAGTACAGAATATGGTCAGAAGACTTCGATACCAACCGGATCGAGTCAAGTCACAACGGTTTGATCTTGACGAGTTGAGTGATTATGGTGTAGTACGAGTTGTTAAAAATCAGATCCTCGTCATGAGCAGTACATCATAACAAATGAACTGCAAGTACGAATGAGTAATCTTTAACGAGTTGTTGAATCAATTATTTTTTATCATTTTCGACATTAGCTCGATTCTACACCTTAGCATATGTCTACTCCCATCCCATCCCATCAAATAACGCATAAATCATATGGGAATGAAGTACCTGTGGTTGAAGATCACTGGACAGGAGAATATTGGAAGACTTGACATCTCTATGGATGACTGGCCTTGGACATTCACTATGCAAGTAACTCAGAGCTTCAGCAACTTCAACAGCCACTCTAAACCTCACTTCCCATGGCAGTACAGCCTTCTCCTCACCATCATCTGAAGAGTGAAAAGTTTACCAATTAGCAACCATTTTTACCATGGCTGTTAAAAATCTTAAAACTGTAAAAATGGTTTGTAGAATTTACCTTGCAGGCTTTCCTCCAAGCTGCCATTGGACAGGAAATCATAGACCAACATGAGGGACTCTCCTTCAATGCAGACACCAATGAGAGGAGTGATGTGTCGATGCTTTACAGAAGACATGATTGCGACTTCTAATGAGAAGTCATTCCAAGCTTCCTTGTAAGGTTTCAGTACTTTCACTGCAACTGATTTCCCATCAGGAAGGCAGCCTTTGTACACACTGCTGCAACCTCCTTCTCCAACCAAGTTCAGTGGAGAGAAATCTTGAGTGGCTTTCTTCAGCTCTCCATGGCTAAACAGTTTGCAGGGAGAGGACTTCAAACCATCATCATCATCACTATGATGGACACATCCTCTGGAATTAAAGTCAGTCTTTGAGTTCTGAATCCTATCCTCGTCGGTTACGAATTCCTCCCAGAAATCTGACGCTGATGCAGAAGGGTTTCTTCGAGCCGCCGATGACTGCCTCGAAAATGCAGAAACTAGAGTGGAAGAAGATGAAGAAGAAGAGGTTTCACTAAGACTGCTACATTTCCTAAAACTCGGTTGCTTCTGAGACGATTTTCTCCTGAGAAGCGGCCAGCCAAGTGGGGATCCTGCAAGTTCTCTTTTGATTGTGGAGATTGTTCTCTCTGGAGCTTTCTTATTTGGAGTCTCATCACTAAAATGTTCCTTTGATTCACGATCTTCTGAGTTTTGATCCATAAGAAACCTGGTTTTGTTCTCTTCATTTTGCTTCTGGTCTAGATACAATTTCAGCCTTGTAGCTAACTTCAACCCTGAACGATTGCTTCTCAATACTATCTTCCTCCTGTGGGAACATAAAGGATTTGCCTAATCAGATGAAATGAACCCATGAACACTATCTTCAAACCACATATAAACCAAGCTAAAAATTCAACTTTCGCGAAACATATATGATCGATTGTATTGGTTAAATCGCGTACTATCATGATTTCGTTATAGTTAAGCAGCGAATCCACTAACAACTTTACCGATTTGATTTCTAATACGAATTCAACATGCCCTGAACATGAAACTTAAAACTAACATAAACAGAGGAAATAAAACTACATACCGGATACCAGTTTCCTGGTCTATCCCCACAATCACCGCCATGTCTGCAAATTGCTGCTTCCCTCCATCAACTCTTGATCGTGGAGCTTGACAATTGGGCTTCAACTGTTCCATACCCAAAACCTCTCAGAACTCCAATTTCGACTCACCAACTTCCCCAAAAGGGAATAAAAAGAGGATCATTCTCAAAAAGGATAAAAGACACGAACCTTTATTAGCAACCGCTTGCATCGGCAGCCTTTGTCTTCTTCTTCCAGTGAGCTGCTGAGAATTTCATAATTCTGTTCCTCAGGGAAATCTCCCTGGCAAAGCTTCATCTTTCAATTTCGTTCACAAAGAAGTAAGAGGAGCGAGAGCATATATATATATGACAAGGGGAAGCCATCTGAAGTTTGGTTTTGGTGTACACCTAACTGAGCCGCCATGACCATTCTTCGGAACCCGGCATTGAATTTGTAGAAAATTACAAAGAGGGAAAGAGACAGAGTTACACAAGATTAAATAACTGCGGGGATAATATTCCCAGCCATGGTCACGCCAGCGGAAATTGATCATATGTAAAATATTAAAGAATTGGAGAGAAGCCCATATGATTAGAATGTGTTTTACTGTTTGTGGAGCTAAGTTAGGGAAATAAGGATGGAGAATTGGACACGGACTGTTCTCGATTTGAACGTTTTGACCATCGTTTTCTGGTTTAATATACAAAATAGGTTTATAGATGAAACTCGTGACTCGTGAGTGATGGTGTGTTCAATTAAATACTCCTAATTATTTTAAGTGTATACTTAAATGATTATAAATGAAGCTTGAGAGACACCCGTGAAAGCAAACAATTAATCTAGCCTAACATTGTTAGGTATGGTAATTCTTGAAAATGATACATTACAATCTAGGGATGGTTTTCTGAACTTTTGCACTCTTAGAAAATAAATTGAAACCGTATGATAATTTAGAATTAGTAGAATTCTAGTCTTTCGACGATACGGATAAATATTAGAAATTCATTTATATCAAGTATGTTTTCTTATAAATCTATTAATAATAAACGAAGTTAATAATGGAGCTAGTACTTAGACTCAATAACGATATGTCGTTCTTTTTGTTTTTTAATGAAATATGCCCTCTACAAAACCTATCAACCACGGCTGAACAAATGTTCAAACGACCAAACCTCGACAGAATGAGAGGGGTAATGTCAGTTTTGACCATTCATTTATTTCACTATGTCTCGCTAAAGTGAAATTATTATGGGTATACAAAAGAAATAAAGAAAAAATTATAGGGAAATTGTTATAGGTATTTTAGACATTCATGTCACCCAAACCACAATTTGATCGAGGCTGACATTTTTTGGATAAAATTTTTTATGCAAAATACATTGAGTATATATTCGATGCAAAATATAACAAAGAAGCATGTTCCATAACAAGGCATAGAAGAGATAGATATAATACTATTAACACTAATTATAAATACTTTTTCAATCACTGATACAAAACTGTAATATTATTGACCTCTCGTTCTACAAAATGTGTTAAGAATTTCTTAACCTCGCCTAATCGCGAATGAGAATTAGTGCATGATATAATTTTTGGTTATGCCGATTTAATTGACATAACCCTCTGTCGTAAATTGTAGTAATGTATTTAATCCATGGTTTATATCCAGTAGAATAGAAGAGAACAAGATTTTCAAAGCACCTTTCAAAAATGAAATTCCACGTGTTCCACGTATAACATGAAGCTTGCCAACACGCAAATGCATCCAATTTCAGCTCAACTGTTGGTTGCCCCGACTGCCTAACACGATCAAACTGGTCAAGCAATAAGATAATGTTGCTCGGGAAAGTGTACACGAAAATGCCCTTTCTGTTTGTATTGACCCTATTACTCTATGCTTGGACAATTTGGTACTCCTAAAACTCACCAAACCCTTTGGTCTAAAATGTTATGTTATGTGTTTCCTTATTTCAGAATATAAATTATTTTAAGGAAGATTTCATTTACAAAACAATAAATTTAATTTTATGAC